TTCCGATCTCCCCAAAACCCCAAAACCCCTCTCTTCGAAATTAATGATACTAGGGATTAAAAATATTAAAAAGTAAAGAAAATACTTAAGTAATAAAAATGAGAAAGGGACTTAATATGAACTAGTTCTCTGATTGGGAAGTTGGTGAAGACTATGAATTGGTAAAGATACTAGGCTCAGGATCTTATGGGCAAGTAGCCTCAGCCGTTTTCAAACCAAATGGTAAGAAAGTTGCTATCAAAAAGATGGATGGTGTGTTTGATGACGAGGTTGATTGCAAACGTATTTTGAGAGAAGTCACTTTACTGAGAAGGCTAAAGCATCCATATGTGGTTGAGCTGTTTGATTTAATTGAGCCTAAGGATCACAGTAATTTTGATACTTTATATGTAGTCCTTGAATTAGCTGAAAGTGATTTGAAAAAAGTCATTAAGTCCGCTATCCATTTGCAACTTAAGCATATTTAGCTAGTTGTATATAATTTGTTTTGTGCTGTAAGATATCTTCACTCTGCAAATGTACTCCATAGAGATTTAAAACCTGCAAATATCCTAGTTAATGAAGATTGTAGTGTTAAGATTTGTGACTTTGGCCTGGCAAGAAGTATTGCTGGAGTTGAGTCAGCAAGTCTTTTATTAAATGCTAGCAAAAGATTCGTAAATAATGACGATGAGGAGATGAAGACAGATGATAACCACGAAGATGTATAATTTAAGAATGTAGAGCCTGCTTAGATGCATCATTAAGATTAAAGCAATAAATAACTTCAAGAAGAGATAAAATCAACAGCCGAACAAAGTGAATAAGACAAAAGAAAAGAAATGACTAAGAGATTGATAAAGACAAAAGATCTTAGAAAGAACATGAAAAGAGAATTGACTGGTCATGTAGTGACTAGATGGTACAGAGCTCCTGAGCTAATTTTGCTTGAGAAGGAATATGGCCCAGCTATTGATGTATGGTCTGTTGGCTGCATTTTCGCAGAGTTGCTAGGCATGATGAAGGAGAGCGCTCCAACCTATCTCGACAGAAGACCTTTATTCCCAGGCAAGTCATGCTTCCCTTTGTCACCAGAAAAAAATCCTAGTGCTGAGAAGTCAGGTTTTCCATTCTCAACCAATGATCAATTGGCTGTTATCTTTGAGGTCATCGGTTCACCTAACGAAGAAGATAAGAGCTTTGTAACAGACTCAAAGGCAGTTGAATATTTATAGGCTTTCCCTAAGAGAGAAAAAGTAGATTTATCCACAATTTATCCGGGAGCAGGGGAGGAGGCAATTGATTTATTGCACAAGATATTGGTTTTCAATCCTTACTTCAGAATATCAATCGATGACTGTTTAGAGCACACTTTCTTCAAAAAATTGAGAAAGCCCGAAAAGGAGTAAACTTCCACTGAGAGCATTGCCTTTGACTGGGAAAAAGAGCACTTGGACAAAGCAAAACTCAGAGCTTACTTCATTGATGAAATTATGCACTTTAAAGCAGCTAAGAACATGCAATGAATAAGTGATCCATTATAATCACCAGGATGGTAGAATTGAAACGAAAATGATAAAAGCATATTTCAAGCTTAAACTTAATCAATTAATAATTAAATTCATCTCTTTTTTATGAGAATGGATCTTCTGCGAGGGGTTTTGGGGTTTTGGGGTTTTGGGGTTTTGGGGTTTTGGGGTTTTGACT